CTGAGATCTTTGTGTGGTTGTGTAACAAAACAATGACAGAAAACAGATATTTCTACCTTAAAATTCTGGAAAATATTTTTTTTTCAAGTAAAAATCGGAGGTTTTTTCTAAAATATTTCTAGGAAGGTTTATCTGTACACCTAAATTGCAAAGGTGAGGCCTTCCAGTGTGGTAAAAAAGACGCCTACATCACATGGAGATCAAAGGAACACCTTTAAAAGTTAGGTAACTGAAGACAGGAAATACCACAATGAAGTTCAAAGGGTAAAAACAAAAACCTGAGATGAAGAGAAAAAAAAAATAAATCCAATGTTATAATACTGCGCTTTTTAAAGTCAACAAACAAATCTCTAATGTGCCCCTTTAAAAGAGTGGGTATTACTTGTACGTGTACAGAATAAAGCCCAGTCTTTATCTCGGCGTTCCTTAAGTTTCTTAAGGGTTGCTCTAGCCTTAGCAGCCCACACTGTTGAGTGCTAAGAGCTCATTTTATCAAGGATCCCGGTTTTCTCTTCTTTTCCTCTCTTCCCTTGGTCTCTCAGCCTGAGGCAAGGGCTTTTATTGCAGGTGAAGATCGACCATTGTGCTGATTATGTTGTGATTCTGTTTCCACGGGCTTCCTAAAACGAAGGTTTGTCATGAACCAGGATTTAGTGAGAGGGATAAAACAGCCTTTTGGTCAAACAGAAGACACTGGAGAACTCATGTTAATACAATCAGTGCCACCTACTGCTCTATTTCTAAAGTACAACTGTGTACACCAGTGATTGCTACAAATCATCTAACTTCCTCCTGTAAAATTTGACTCAATGTATATGAGTATTTTTAACATCAATGTCTTTTCTTTTTTCCTCTATAGTTAATGTAGGCAAACCTTGAAACCACAGTTATGTTTAAAACAAGCCACACCTAGACAGTTATCTCATTATAATCTCCCACATACTGAGAGCATTTCTTCCCCTAACATGTATATTCTCACTTGAAGCCAGGAGGGCTGACATTGATATTCCAACTAAAAAGATTGTCTCAAGTGGTTCTTCTGGAGGGACTGTGGTGTGAAGACAACATCCATGACTCACATCCTATGGTTATGTGCTGAGTTTTTGCAGATATCTTCGCTCTACCAAAATATAGAGTTGGATCAAAGCGTGCAGAGAAGACAAGACCTTGGGAGAGAACAGTTTGAAAAAGAGTCATAGGTAGGGTAGAATGCACAGCATTGTCCCTGCATTGTGATCTCAGAGAACTGTAGGAAATTCAAGAAAAGCAGTACATGCTTTGTATGATTTCTCTTCAAAGACCTTGCAGACTCAGCCTTCTTATTGTCCAGTATACTTACAAGCAAAGTTATTTCACTTCTGTGGGTTGAAAAAGAATTTGGTGGGATAACAAGTGATGCCTAGCAGAACTGAGGCACATTGAATAATACATTACCAGAGGACATCTGTATACTTTGGGATTAAGTGCAATATAAGAACCAAAATAGGCCAGACTCAAAAGCAGTTTCACTCGTTTCCAGATTTCTGGAAAATATTTTAATCAATGTTATATTTCAAATACTACTATTTTGGGTAGGTTTCCATCTTCCCACTTCAGCAGTTTTCCTCTGTTTTGCTAAAAAGGAACAAACCATACAATCGTAGTCACTTTTCCCTGCCTCTGTGACAAAAATTACACATTGTTGTAGTGTTAGCAGAGCATCACTTTCACCACTTGCACCACACTGCAATTCACATGGAGGATAGCTAGTGACTACCCTTCTAATCCTTTCTGCTCTTGGTGACTGCCCCTCCACTGTGTGTGCTAAGTTTGTCCACACTTAATGTCAGAATATAACTTTTCTTCTGGAGAGGTCATTTTGTTGTAGGTGCAAAACTACACGCATTATCTCCTTTATGACAGTAAACATAGATAATTCCAGTTTTTGAAGTGCCTATTGGATTTAACCTTTCTTAGGCACTTCATATGCTTTTCCCTCACTAACAAAAAAACCCCAGGAATCTGGGATGGCATTGTGGGGAAAAAAAATGCTTCTTTAAGACATACAGATTGGATAAAGTCAAATGTACTCAGAATATGAAGGAATACTAATGTTCATAGTGCTATTGGGCACTTTTTGTCAGAATATCAGAAACACTTAAAAACCCCCATGAATATTATCTCTAACCTGTGAAAGATAAAAATGAAGTACAGGATAGTTACATGAGTTGCCCAGGTTCACACAATGATGGTGTTGCCAGTGCTTGCAAAATTATCTCATGGTAATCTGATGATTCTTCCAAATCCATTCTCCAGGGTTTAAGGGGCTATGTCACCTTTTGCCAAATTCAAAAAGTGGAATAAGTATCCCCTAATTACAGGAAAAAAAAAAAAAAAAAAAAGAGCAGCACTGGAAAACATGACACCTAAGAACCTGAAAACCACAGCCTATACAGACTTTAAAAATTTTATTATGACAACTTAATTCCACTGTTCTAAAATTATTTGCATGGTTTTTAGGCTTTTGAATACTTGGGGTGGTGATTATATCAGTGAGCCAGTGGCAACCGTTTATCTGACATCACTACTGGTGGTTTGTATGTCATCTCTGGAGAGGTAACTGGTATAAACATGATGTCCTGAATAAGTTCAAAGGACTATAGAGGACAGCGGTAGCCAGCCAGCAGAGACAATGGGGCCCATGCACCTGAAAACCCACCTGTTTTCCCTCTGGGAAGCTGCAACTTGGGGTAGTTACTTTAATTAGAGCAAGCAAGTGCGAGTTCCTTGAGTGGCAGTCTCGTTTTTGCTGAATAAAAGTTTGTGTTGCACTGCCTAACTCTACAAAGACCCCCACTGGCAGTTCCGCCAGCGAGACACCCCAGTGCCCGAGCCACTATCAGTGTGTGCCACAAGGCCAAGGGGGGAGGTGGCCTGACATGGCAGCCCAAGGGCAGGATGGCCACAGAGAGGCCCTGCGCCAGGGTTGGCGGAGGCCTTTGGACTCGGTCTGTAGGCCGCAATCAGTGAGGAGGGGGGGGCGAACTGCCCCTGGTGTGTCATTTAAAAGCACTGGATTTGCAGTGTATTCATTGACATAGAGCCGATGAGAGTCTGTGGAGTTGGGATAGGTTTGTGGGCTGTTTAGTTCTTATCTTTTCCACTCTCACCTGAGACTTGTGAGACTGGCAGCTTTCAGCCTTGCCCTCAGGGTTTCCAGGGAAAGATATGAAAATATTACTTGGGCCAGTTGATGGTTCAGAAAAGAAGTGACCCTTGAAATATTACTGGTTTTTCTTTTAAATAACATAATTTTTAACCTACAGGACGATAATGGTTTTCTACCTTCTCCAGTTAGTAAAAGCCACAGCTTCTCCAAAAATAATGATTCTTGTTCAGGCTTTTTTTTCATAAACTGGTAAATAGGGCAACTCAAACCATTAAGGCAAAGAGATACCCAGCCTATAAAACCCTGAATCCCTCCCTGGGCAGGCTGTAATGCCTTCCAGTTAACCTAGAAGGAAAACCTCTTTCCCTGGACACACAGCTGAGCCTACCTGCCAGCTCCACTGGCTGGAAAGGGAGGGGGCATTTGCTCTAATCTTTCCTGTCTCTCCCTGTTCCCAGCTATGCTACTCCATCCCCTCTTGCCAGGCTCTTTGTGGAGACAGCTCTAGTTCCTAACTTGGCAAAAAAAGTTTTCTGTATCCTTAGGTCAGTTCCAGTGATCTGTATCCATCAGCTCAGGGATGGGTCTGACTGCTGTAAGTACACAGAGAGCATGGGAACTGCAAGTGGAAGACCAAGTATTTTGGGGATAGCTAGCTGTTAAGGTAGGCTCAGCTGTATAATATTATGTCTAAGAGACTTTTATGCAATCGGACTGCTTGCTGCTTGTCTTCTAAACCAATCAACTTGGACCTGTTTTGTCTTACTGGAGCTCAGAGCCTTTCCCTGTATGCTACTATGTAGTTCATGCCTGTTGGTTCTAATGTCCTTCACAGTGCCAGAAATACCCAGATCTCACCTGGAGATTTGCTTACTGGTGAGTGCAGATTTTGGGCAGGTTGTGCTCGAAGATCAGAATCAGATTTGACTTACACAGCTGTCCCAGAAGCACTGGCTTCTCAACCAGATGTGTAAGCACATAAGCATCTTCCAAGCAAGCATCTGCTCTGTGGAGCTTTGAGGATCTCAGGTTGCACATTAGGGACTGACATCTCTGAAGATGTGTGTGCACCACTCACAGCATCCCAGCTCTGTGCTGGAGCAAGATAGAGGCATACTGTTCCCCTGGCTTACTGCTCACTAGTTTCTTTGGGCAGAGGCGAGAAAAGAGCTGTGGTATAGAAAAAGAGAAACCAGGTGGAAAATCAGGCACAAGGACTGCAAGGAGGACCAAAATGCATGGCAAAGTAGGGATAGAGCCTTTGTAGCTCTGTTTGTAAAAGCTTGCAGGGCTGCTCAAGAGCAGAAAGAAGTCAACAGCTTGTGTAGAGCCCTGAGAACAAAGCTGGAGTTAATTGTGGGGGAAGGGTATGATGTAAACTGGTGCTTACAGACTGATGAACTGAACAAGAATAGCTAACAGCCTTTAACCTGGCAAGTAATCTGAGCGACATCATTACTAACCTGGTTGGTAAGTGGCCAGCAGATAGAGAAGGTCCATGAGTGTTAATCGGAGGGTGTATCTTGAGGGGAGGGCTTAGGGGCTGGACTCAAATCAGGTGGTGAACTCACAGTGTCCTCCCTGCTGGAGTTTGCTCAGGGCAGCACTGAGTTCACAACTGTTGAATTTCAGTTGTCCCTGAGGTGGTAGGTACTGAATGCTGTGGCTGAGGAGCTCAAACCCACTTTTTACCTCCCTCTAAGAGAAGAAAAAGAAAGAGCCCTGGCCCCAAAACAGCAAGGCCTTTCTCAGGTCAGCCTTAAATTCTTACCTCTATGAGCAGGTGCTTCTCAAGCTCTGAGGATTTCACTGAGCCAATTTAATGCTGATGATAAGACAGCTTAAACCCATTAGCTCCCAGCTATCTGAATAATTTTCTCCTTGGAGAACAGCACACTGGTAGACTGCTCTAACCAGACCTGCAGAGAACTGCCACATTAACTGAACATTTGGTAACTGTTGTGACCTGTGTGGTGAGCATTCAAGGGCTGAAGAAAATGCCACTGGCTAGATCACTGTCTATGACTTCTCTTAACGGACTTCCTCAGTGGGAGGATGAAGATCTACCAGTGGAGGATTTGTTGCTTTTTGAAGTCTCTTGGGAAGTTACTAACAAAGGTTTGTACAACACCCTTAGGAGTTTGTATCGCTGTTTTTACGGGAGCAGAGGGAGGTATGAAGGGCTTGGACAAGAAGGGCATTCAGGGGAGATTGGAGAGAAATGGGCCACAGAACTGTTGCATTGGAAGGAGTGCACGTAGCATGTGTAATTGTGCATGTTGTGTGTGGGCTGCATCTGCCTGTGTGGGATGAGCCTATAGTGAGGATGTCTGTGTGTATTTATGTGTTTCACCACCAGGGATAGGTTGTTTGAACAAACATCTGTGTTATGCCTGGGTGTGTAGATGTATGGATATATAGATGTTGCTTTGTACATATTTATATTTTACCTTCCATGGAAATTAACTTGGGAGTGTAAATGCATGAAAATGAGCTGTAAAGCAGACATCAGATTTAAAGTAGCTCAGCAGTCTCCCCCAGCCTTCTATAAAGGTATGAAGAAAAGGCCAAATTTGAAACAAGTATAAATAAACAGCTGCATTGAAGCCACTGATCAAAACCCAGATGTCAATGACCGCTGTCTTTATGCCCGCTGAAATCCTTTTGGACTGGTCTTTGCAAACACAGGTGGTGCCAGACAGGGACTTCATGCTTTGTGCATGTCTACAGATTGAAAATTTGTTCACTGCATGCAGCCTGTCAGGCAAAGTGCACACTGCTTGTTACACAAAGATCTTTCTGCCTCCGTTTCTAATTCATTCATCAAATTGTCCTCTTTCAGCTAGGTGTAGTTCACCAAGGGGAAACAGGCTTCATTTTCACCAAAAAGTGAGTTAGTATGAGTAAATGACTGACCTCATATGTCTTACTGTCCTGGCAGATAAATAGAAAGATTAGTCAGGAGAGGGGATCTGTAATCTGTTAAGATTTTAACTCTGAAGGGGAGGTGTGTGTGAGAGGAACAGGGTTTACCCCCATGGTGAAGCTGGAGTTACTATTTTATGATAGCTTCTAGTATTTAATCTGCACTGCAGTGCAATTTTACATTGCTTGCTTTTTTTTTTTTTTTTTTTTTTTTTTTTTAGTATTGATACCTGGAGGTAGTACAGAGTAGCTTTTGCACTTTGAGTCCCTTTGGGCTTATTTTTCAGTAGCTTCAGTCAAGCTTTTTGAGTTAATTTACTACTGTCAGAACTTGGAGCATGTAGCATTTACTTTTGTAGTGTGCATGATAAGTAAGGCACTGGCAAGCAGGTGGCACCAGAAATATAGGAAATTCAGTTATTCTCGCTAACATCTCTGAACTCCATAGTATATATGTATTTTCTGATTCATTTGGACCCACTGGTTACAGATACCACATAATATGTTTAAGAAAAAGTAAAACACAATTAGATTTACCTCTCTATGTATGTACAAAATGCAGTGAATCATTTATTCATCCATGTGGTTCTTGTTGACTTCACTGACATCAAATCAGCTAAATTTTACTATTTAGGCACAGCTAAAATTTACTATTCTCACATTTTATGAGAAAATTAATATGAGGGTGAGTATTTATTCAGTGAGTTTAAAAATAAGGTGCTGTTAATTATGCCACTTACCAAACCCATGTATTCAAACAGAGCTGACTGAACCAGTCATGGCAATTTCTTCATCAGAACTGGATCTCTGTGCAAAGTTTCCATTAACCAACCTTGACTGGAAACATCTGTGCAAAATCTCTTTAAAAAAAGTTTATTTCATCTTATTTTTCTGGTAAATTCTTGATACTGAAGTTTTTCTCCCATATCTTCCAGGCAATTGAATGTCTAAGTCAAACGGTGAGATACTGTTCCCTTTTATAAACAGTTCTGGGAAAATGTTAGGGCACAGTGTTTTTTAGGAGAGAGAGAGAGAGTAGCTAACAAAATACAGGGAGAGTCATCAAAAAAGATACATAGGCTTGGGAAATAATAGCTTACATTGTATATTTCCATCCTCCCTTAGCAGGAGGAAGAACTGTATACTTGACTAAGTAGGCTGACCTCACATAGATTTAGTACTGCTATGTGTTTTATTGGTTTAGTGTTGCTGTATATGTTCCTAATATAGAGGGAAAGATAAGCATTAGCTTGGTTTATTGCCTGACAAGGGGTTTTTTGAGCATTAAATGTGAAGGTTTCTTTCTGGCAAAGCAAAGGTGAGTCAGAGTAGCGCAGCATGAAGTTGGTTTGCACTGCTAAAGTGATGTAAAGCTGCTGCTGCCTACAGGAGAGAGTTCAAGTCTTTGTGCTAACTTTGTGTGCATCACTAGGGGCTTGGTTATGAGTACATTTCCTTGTTGACCAGTGCTGCTCTTTAGTCGTTCCTCCATTTCTCTGTAGCAGAGACAATAAGGCTGAATGTCCTCTTCCCTATGAGGAACATGCTACCAGACTCACAGATGGCTATCTATTCCCACACCTGTAAATAGTGCCTTTTACAGGTGCTGAGCTATTTTCAGAACCTCTTAAATATATTCTTCTTCAGAGTCTGAGGATGATGAAGGGGTCCTGAAAATTGGAGCACATCTGATTATACAGTGTGAGAGAGTCTTCACGTGCCAGCTGCCCATGGGGAGCAAGTGTTTACTGGTATTTCCCTGGTGCTGCTGGTTGGTACTGAGGCATGAGATGCAGCTGTAGGGAAGGACAAGTCAGTTGTATGAGTTCAGTGCTCAGAGATCTACAAGTATCCGTTATTTCCAGAGTCTTGTCACTTCTTTCTCAGCAGCTGGCACAGTGAAAGTGTCCTTTTTTTTTTTTTTTTTTTAAAAGTCTAAATATTTAACACATGCTCTAACAATACAGAGCTTTCAACGACTCCACACTTCCTTTTTATATTCTCTGTCCTGGCTGCTGCCTGTGCTAAGTGGCAACCTCTGACATATGTGTTGGAAAGCACCAGCATCTCAGTTACTCTTCTTTCTCTTCTTCTCTGTCTGGAGCAAGCAAAGATAGAGTAGCTGAATGAGAGAACGAGAAGTAAAAAAAGGCTCATGTGCCAGTGTCATGCCTTTCACAACTCATGTGGAAAGGAGCTTGCCACCTAAACCAAGCACAACATTGAAATCATCTTGCATTGAAAGTCCCCTGCCAAAGAAATGAGAAAAATGTAGTTTGTTTTGCAAGATTTTTCTCACTTTATTTGGCTCTTCACTGATGGTCAAGACCCATACTGTGAAGTATATTTACTGTTTTTCTGTGGTAGAAAGGGATAAAAGAAGGCAGGCAAGGGCCCCAGCAGGCACTGCAGGGCCACATGGCATGCTGATGAATCATGGGGAAGCTCAGCATTTTTCACCCTTCCACTTCTCTCCTGGCCACCATGCTCTGGTAAATCCAGGTCTGGTCATATCTCTGTGCACACTGGAAAAGAAGACTGGTTGTCTTTCCTCCCTAACATGAAGGCAAATAAAAAGGAGCACCAATCAAGTGACTACAAGATATATAGATCTTGTGACTGAAGTCCCACAGATGGAAATGATCAACAGGGAGCAGCTAGAGGCCATTGTAGGAGTAATGGCAGCTGTCCTGGACGTTTTCCACAGTGAAAATGGCTCCATTCTCTTTCTAAAAGCTTGCCCACTGAAAACTGAAGTATTTAATCTTGGTAGGGGGCAGAAGTCTAATTTTGCAAGTGAGAATAACAGTTAGCTGTAGTTCAGTGGGTTTTCTCATAGATTAGTGAGAAGGGTTGAGAATGTTCAAGATCTGGTCTGTGCTCTATAAAGATTTCTTTAAAATCATTCCAGTAATATTTAGATCAGTATTTTCTGCTGTAGTACTAACAGTTTTTAGATAGAAAATGAAAGAGTGCTTAAAAATGCTGGGCAAACAGCCAGTCTGTATCATCATTCAGCTGTGAAGAGATTAGTTCAAGAGTCACTGGTAGATGAATCCTAAATACATTTTTTCCATCTCTATTGGAATAAAGGCTCTGCTAAAAACAAGCCTTGGTTCAGCTCTCCCTGCAGTAGAGCCTTATGTAGATTTTCTCTGGTGAAAATCTGGACTCTTGGAAATTAAATCCTGAATCCACTAAAGTCAGTAGGATGATCATTTTACCTCTTCTGTGTTAAATGTGGTAAAAGTTCCTTGGGAAAAGGTGAATGCTGTAATCTGTGACACACATGTGGAACGTGAAGATGCTGGCATAAACTTGGCATAAACACAGCATCAGAGCTCTGTGCATTCCTAGAGTGGGGTGGTATAACAACGTCAAATCAATCTCAAATGAAATCTTGTGCATTGGGGGTGATGCACACAAATAGCTTCTGTATTGTGGACATCTGTCGTAAATTTCAGTGTTTCAGTATTATTTCAAAATATGTTTGGAGTGGCACAATTTCACAGAATTTAGAGAACTTCTGTCTTCTGATGAGCCCCAGTCACAAATGTGGCCCAAAAACCGCATGAAAAGTATCTCCTATCTGAAGATGCTGTTTTGTTTTTTTTTAATCTGACACATTTTACAACCTTATTCTTTAAATGGTCCCCAGATATCTCAACAGGCAGTTAATAAATAAATAAAATTCTAATGAAACATTTAAAAAAGATACTCTCAAGCCCAATTTTATCACTTCTTTCTAGATCAGAGACAGATTCTGAGGAGAAAGGGCGAAAGGCTAGTTCATGTAACTAGTAATTGTCGCAGTGAAATCAGTTTGAGTCCTGAATCTGGTATTCCACTGCTGTCTTGGATTCAATGGCAGCTGTGGCACTCAGGAAAGCTTTAGTGCGTTCAAGAGTGGCCCAATCAGGCCATAGCAAAGAAGCCAAAGAACTGTGGGAACACCCTGATCCTCCGTTTCTGTGTAGCAAAGGTGTGTGGGGAAGGACTTGACAATCAGTGACAATCTACACTTATCTCTGTCTCACTTACATAGCTTCGCTTCCTATCTCTCTCCTCCCTTTTTGATTTCTGCTGCTCCTTGCCTCTGTCCTTCTGTAATGTGGGCTGAGTGGAAGAGCAAGGAAGATGAATGGTGAGTATCTCTGGCAGTTTTGAGAGGTTTTGGCATGGTAGCAGTAATGTATATGAAAACATTTAAATTTAAAAAAATAATTCTATGAAATATTTTCTGAGAAAATATTTTGTTTTCATCTTATATTTTTTAAGGAGATCACTAAAAAAAAAAAAAAAAAAAAGTCAAACTTCTCTTAATGAACAAATTCTTCTTTCCCAAGCATTTTAGTTCCCCTTTTCATGCCAGCTTATTTTTCCCTGGAAAAAGAGGAAGAGTGGAAAGGAAGTAAATGGGGGAAAAAGATATGGTGCTGATTTCCTTTTTGATTTCCTTTATTCTGGTGGAAAAGTTAAAAACACATTTTAAAAAGAAATACTATGTTTCTCTCAAGGACATTCTAAAATGATTAAAACATAATATTTTAATAAAGCATTTTGGTGGAGATCAGAACACTAAACGACCCCTGTATCCACATTTTGCTGCTAACTGCTCATGTTTGTGATGATCCGAACCAATTCTCTGGATCTGATCTCTCCTGATTCTGCATCTATTTCTTGTCTTTCATTGTTTATTTTAAAACTTCTTTCAAAGTACAAAACTTCAGAGGCTGCATACAGAAACTTGCAACATCATGGAATTTTGGTACATTCCTGTTGTTTAGAAAGGTTTTCTGTTTATAATATGACCTTAAAACATCATATTAGAGAAGAATAAGGAGATTTACCAAATTGTTGGAAGTAATTTGAGAATTTTGTTAGGCTCCAAGTGAATATGTAAACCCTTACTCTGTTACTCAGTAGGACATGTAATGCATTGTTTACTGGCACAGGTATTTCCACGGAATTCAAAGTGACTGAGCAGATATAAGCTATCTCTTAATGATATATAATGTGTTCCTTAAATTTCCAATGGAAAAGTGTGATTTCAAAAGTCAATACATTATTCTAGACATTGTTCTTCTCAATATGTCTTTTTTAAACTCGTGCCTAACACTTTCCACATACGTAGTTTCACTTGCGCAGTTTCCCTCCCCTGTCAATTAAAGCTTATGTACAGACATGCTTTGTGAGCAGTAACAAGACAAAAGCACATTTTGGGTCCAGGTAACCCAGAGCTTTTATCACAGCTATCTTCTGAAGAGTTTTCACAGTCTCTAAAATGTACTCTGATTTTACCTTAAGTACTTTTCATTGCTTTTCAGGCAAATCAGTGCCCTGAAATATTTTTTACCTTGCTGCGTAAGATTATGACGACAGAGCACAGCATACTCTCCACTCTTTCTCTCAGAACATACATCTTTGGCAGGGCGTATTTTAGGACACACAGTGATCCTAAATAAAACCTTGTGAAAGGAAACACTCAGCTGTTGGCTATACAAAACAAAGGTTCAGGCTCTACTCAGCTCCTCGGCTGCAGTTTTCTTACTGCTCTTAAAATTAATAGCTGTGGAAACCTTGCTGATCCCAGTGTTGAATGCCTTGGAGTATGAAAGAGGCTGATCTCCACTCTTGTGATGGTGGGGAAAGAGCTTTGCACCACGCTAGTCATATACAGCTTTATCATGTTATTTAGTATCATCTTGCAAGTACATATTTTCTCTTTTCCCTGCATCACCAGGCTGCTTTGCACAAAAATCTTCCCTTATTTTAAGCTCTGTATTTCTGCCAATTAAAACCAACTAGTTTTGTGACTAATATTTCTGCCAAACCCCATGTTTATCCATGTTGAAGTGCCTTAAGCTCATATGATGTATTTATCACCCCGTAAGAACAGATGTGTCTTCATAACTGTATCACTTTATGGGTTGAACATCCTGATTTGTCTCATATAATTAAAATTATATGTGTATCTGAATCCAAGCTATTCAAATAGTCTCTCTCAGCTTGTGAGAATAGGAACTTGGAGGGAATATGTAGTGTCACTTACCTAAAATTGCTCGAAATCCGTCTAGAGCAGCCATAGAAGAGTATGATGACTGTAAGTTAGTTTCTTAGCTTTCTGGTCCTAATGAAGTGGAGAATAGTCTTACGAATAGATTTCCTTCTGCAGTTCCATGGCTATATGACATGAAACTCTTAACTGTGAGCTTGATTTAGGAACACATATCTGTAAGATTCTTGTCTTCTTAGGTCCTGAATTATTATGTAGGGTAATAATTTACTATAATAGTTCTGATTCACAAGCTGGTAAATTTGAACTGTGTTTGTTTTTCTTTGTAAAATACCTAGAATCCTGAGACATCTTGACATAAAAATAGTAGGGCTGGGGATCTTTCTAGTATTCAAAACAAATTGGATATTTGTAGAGAGAAGAACTTTAAATGCACAATTTCTTTTCTAAGAGTACAGTTAAAAACATAGCTCTGTTGTTCAGTTCCTCAGGGCTGCAAGCTACCAGGCTTGGCAGAAGGCTTTATTTAGTTGTCAGGTGATACAGTTTAATTAATCTGGGAACTAATCTCCCAAAGTGCTGAGCAACTTCAGTTTCTCTATTGTAAATAGTGGACATTTGTGGCAGAGTTTTAACGAGAATCTGGTAACTTCTCAAGATTCTTGCTATATGCAATTGGATGTGGTGCATTGGCACCTCTGGATACCCCAGTACCTTTAGAAAATGAAGTCTGGAGTACCTGCTATCAACCACTGGCAACTTTCAGTGCTGGCTCCTTATGCCTCACTGCTGAGAGGCATATCACAGTCTTCTTGCCTGGAGTATTAACAAACATTTCCAAATTCAGTGGAGGATTAAATTCTTGTGTAGGAACATTAAGTCCCTTCCTATTTTGTTGTTTGCTTGTACCTTTTGAGCTTCATTTATCTTACGATGCTTTAAAATCACTGGAGCTACACTCATCTCTGATGTACAGCAGCTACCTAGCCTCTGACTTTCTCTTTCCTTGCCTTTCCCTCCACTTGCTGGATTCAGGCATGCACTGTTGTTCTGAATTGATAGTGATGGAATGCCTACTGCCTGGCACTGCAGGTCCTGCAGGAAAGGAGATTTGCAAGGCTGCCTTGCCAATGCATGATTTACAGGGCTGGCTGTGGAAAGCTGTGAGGAAGAGCAGCCTAAATGAATCTTGCATACCATGTGCAAGACTAGATAGATCTGTACTGACCTCATCAGGGGATGTAGTTGTCACGTGGTCTTACACATTTTAATATTGCATTTATTTTAAAATCGGACGATGTTTTGGTGGAAGGTGCTAGAGGTGTTTATATTGGCAGTGTAGGTTACATTCATTCCAACTTTAACAACTCTAGAATGGTAATGGAACATGACACCTTTTGGTCTGAGGATATTGGTTTAAATCCATTTTTATAGTCAGTAGTCAATGTAATCCATCAGTCCCTAAACTTTTTTTCAGTGATTTGTGTAAAACAAGATGGAAGTGCCAGCTCAGTTGTCACCACATGTATTTCCACATCACAAAAAGTATGTTTGAAAATTATAACTGCTACAATGAAATAGCAGAAGGCTATGCTTGGGATGCAGTAAAGTCAAGATTAGGCATGGGAGAGTGAAAGCATGAGCCCCAGGATTTGAATCTCACAATCCAAGTCTAAAGATTTCACAATCCAAAAAGAGGGGATTAACAGAAGAATAAAATAATATATTGGTTGAACATTTGTGGTGTGACTTCAAACACTCAAAAGAAATTTTAAAAATCACAGACTAGATAAAAATAACAGTTAAGGATAGAAAGCACTTGAGATTAGAGGAGAAATTCAGGGAAGCCATATGCAGTCACCCAGGAGTAAGCAAAGCATTAAATTGTCATTTAAGAATTAGGCACAGTCTGCTGTTGGTACATACTCCTCAAAGATCTGATGCCATTTAAGAGGGTGAACTTCTGTTTATTTGTTAGAGTCTGGTTTCACTTAAAATCTGAATATGTGAAATAATTTAACTAGAGCTATATCTGATCCACAGGTAGGTTGGAGCTTATTCCAGAGGTTTGTGGTCTGTGCCCTTTCCTACTTTTTGTTCTTTGTGATCTTCTTTTGCAGTGGGAGGCATTTACACTGTGATCCAGACAAAAGCCAAAACTACAGCAGATGAATGGGGTGAAAACTATTTTCTGGTTGGTCCCTATTTTGAGCACAATGTGAAGACTCAGGTGGAAGCATGTGAGCCTCCAAACCCTGCAGTTACAAAGGCAGTGGACACCATGAAAAGCCAGGGGTGTCAGGTAAATCAGATGTGCTACTGCTGACTCTGAGGAGATTAGTTTTGGTTAATGCTCTCTGCATTCCACTTGACACAGCAGTCCTGGTCAATGTCACAATGGGAAAGGCCCTAACTCACTGTTAGACCAGCAAAGTCAATTCATTAAAGGTTATTTTTGAGGAAGAACCAGTTTATCCAATTACAGGTTTTAACAGTCATTTATCTGCAAGTCTGCTTAATTGGATTAATGACTTATTTAGTCTCTAAATACAGTGAGATTTTAGTAGATATATTATGACCTTATTTAAGTGAACCCTTACATTTGGCTTTCTTGCACTGGAGCGAGAAGAGCGTTCCACTAGGTCACAATTTTTCTTATGTAACATTATAATGAGTTGAAAGCCAGAAAGCGACATACCACAGGTCGATTTAAGAAAAGCACCCAACTGACAAAGAATCTGCTTCCTCAGATCAATGCAGCTATCAGTCTTCTCTAGGAAGAGAGATTAAACCACAGCATGAGTGAATTCATCTGTGTTTTCTACACCATTTTTAACTGGTGTTTTCTGTGTGATCTCAGTCAAACCTCATAGCCTTTCTGTGAGTCAGTTTCTCCAACAACAAACTAGGAATAAACGTCCTCATATAAAGGTAATCTGCTGAAAGGAATAGAGTCTGTTGTGTTGATAGGCAAGCTACTGAACTGCAAGCAGCTGCAGCCTTGAGGACAACTGATTGTCTGAAAATTGGTGGAAGATAACACATGCTAAATCTAGCGTCCTTTCTTGAAAGTCCTCATCAGAGATCTAGAACTCACCTTCACTCTGAATCAGCATTAACTCCCTCAGAGACACTAGTCTGCAGGAGCAAAAATTGTCTGCTTATAATGTGTGCTGAGCAGATGTGAAAAGCATTGAGAGGCAGAAACAAGGAAGCTTTCTAACAAGGTTCTGTTGCTGAGGGGCACAGCACACTTTAATGTAGAAATTCATAAATTTCTTAGACTGCTACCAGCTGTTGCACTGGCAACATGTTATCTCCCTTTGTAACAGCGGTCCTGCTGTTATTAGGATCTGGTGCCCTGTTGCATATTATGTAGAAGTGTATTGTTGGACATGCATGTGCCACAGCTTGGGACAGTGTCTGTTGGGGACACTAACATTGTGTGATGCTCGCATTGTTCATGCTGAAGTTCAAACTAAAAGGCCTAATCTAGCTGCAATTTCTTATTTCTAATCAGATTTTTATAAGTGATCGATCAAGTTTTCCGTGTTGCCTCTGTTGCTTACAAAAAGATATCTCTGCAAGCTGTGTAACAGTCCTTTGTTTGAAAAACAACTAAAGACTTGTGGGCAGATTAATTGAGATGCTATATATACACTTCATGCTCTTCCAGCAATACATTCATTTTAATCAGCAAACTCTGCCAGCCTAGCATGTGCACTGTGCTGCTGGAGTATTCATATATAGCAGCAAATCTGTCCCAGGTATGTCAAGTATAGCTTTGATCTCTAATAAAGACGCTCTAGTTTCCAGGAGCTGTGCTTATCCTATTAACATTTATGTCTGGATTTTGCTTATGCATCACAATGGATCCCTTTAAACCAGGGGACCTAGGAACGCTTCCAAACTTCTCAGGTCAGGTTTTTTCCTTGCCACAACCTGACTCCATATTTAGATGAAATCTGGGTTCACACAACCCCCTTGCTTTTTAACCTTATTTTCCTGAATAAGAAACCTGGATAGCCTGAAATAAGTATATAAGGAGCCAACCCTCCTTCACACACCTGTCTTTGTTACACCCTGTATTTTTTGTGCAAACAGGTTTAAGAGCTTTCATCTCATTGTTTTCAAGATCTGACCCCTGTTCAGCCCATTCTAGCATCAGGGCTGGGTTCAACCCCTGAGGTCCTAGGGGTTGGTGAATGAAAAGAGATTGAACAGTGACATAAAAGATTCCTCTGCACAAGGTATAAACTGCACTAACCTCCCTATAGTACCTTGTTCTTCCTGGTTAATATGTCTCTGTTGATACAGCCATTTCAGTGATAAAATTAATATGAAATAATTTGACTGTGCAGACTGGTACAATCTGTAGTGTGGGCCCAGCTGTGTTGTGTTGCCTTATTACCGTTCAGCCTAATCTCTTGGTTGGGCAGGTAGGTTGTATCAGTGAAGTTCTAAACTAGTTTTTTAACTATACCCATGCAGATAAAGCAGGGAAGCTATGTTTTTAGGCTGATATGGTTTTAGGTATCATTACACCTTCTGATATATCTTCCAGTCTGCCAAAGGTCATCAGCTGTGCTGCTTGGGCAGAGTGAGAAAATGTCATGGTAGATAGAGGTCCCAAGCACTTGTCCTACAAAATGGCATTATGCTGTCCTACAAAATCTAGCATAAATGGCAAAAGACTGATGACAAATCTGACCGAAAGAAAATAGTAATTTTGAAATAAGAACAAAAATTGCGTAGATACTTCAGTAAGAACATAAGGCCTCATTATTCAACCAAGTATAGTCTTCCTAAGATTTTTTTTTTTTTTAATCTAAAATGAAAGTCTTAAAACCAAAATGTTCCAGAAGATTGTAGTTTCCTTTTACCCCTGCCTTTGGTCCAGTATTACTTCATGTATTTTGCAAGGAAAATCACAAATCCTGGGTATGTAGGACTATGATGGGATATTCCTTATGTAAAATATTTAAGATTTGGTGGATGAAAATAATTATGCTAACTGGCCTTTATATTCACTTCAAAATTTTCTGCTTATATCCTTGCCTCTTTCCCACAGGTCTTTTTTGGAAGATGGCTGATAGAAGGCAGCCCATATGTCTTACTGTTTGATTTAGGATCAGCAGCTTGGAATCTGGACAGGTGGAAAAGTGAATTTTGGGATGTCAGCAACATAGGGATCCCTTTTCATGACCAAGAAGCCAACGATGCTGTGATTTTTGGATCGTTAACAGCCTGGTTTTTAAAAGAGGTACAGAGATTTTCAAACTTCAGCCTTGTCAGCAGTGCAAAAAAGCTTTGGAATGTGGTTCTTCTTCTCCAGTTTAAAAATTATGATTTAAAATAAGCTGATAGCTGATGTAGATCAAATTTGTGTTTACAACTTAATACTTATGTGGTCATTTAACTATATTTTTCTGGGAGAATGAAGTGGCCGTGGTGGTCTGCCCTGTGTGAAATCTTCTGTGTCTTTACTGTCACTTTTCTCTCTGTTTCTTCTCACTTTCCTTATTTGTCACCAGATGCTCTTACAAGTAGGATCTCAAACTCCCTTTTTCTCTCCTATGGTAGTCAAGTTGTCACACTCAAACTGTCCTTGAAGCCAGTCAAACCATATCTCAGTGATTAGATACTACCTTGCACAGGGAATATAGACAGACAGAAAGAATGATAGCACTGTTACTTCACATGTCACTCTACCACAGCCTACCTGAAGAGAAGAAGCTTTGTTAATCTGCAGAATCATCTGTCTGTCATAGGGGCTCATGACTTTTATATCCAAATGAGAGTTTCAAGAGCAGAAGGGCAAGTTAAAAGAAAAAAAGAGTGACTGTGCTTGCCAGAGCTCTCCAACACTCTGGGAAGGATACTGTTCTGAGGCACTAGTGAGGCACATGTGCTTCCTGGGCTAAGGATTGGGGCTGATGGGAGTCAAGACACATGACCACTTAAGATGCTGTACTGCTTTGTCATATGAAAGCAAGCAAGCTTTCAAGTCATATGAAAGAAAGCAAGCAAGCACACAGGAGAAGTCATGGAAAAAAAAGAGGGGTTTGGGGCTGAGATGATGGGGAGGATGGTGTGTGTTTCATGTATATTCTTTCTAATTATTTTCAGCTTTCCTGTCAGTTTGATGACAAGCCCAATGTAATTGCCCACTTCCATGAGTGGCAGGCAGGAGTGGGTTTAATACTGTCTTGTTCTCAGAAACTTCCTGTTGCCACAATTTTTACTACCCATGCAACTCTGCTAGGGAGATACCTGTGTGCAGCCAATATAGATTTTTACAACAATCTTGACCAGGTAAGAGGCATTTTTCTATTTTTTTTTTTTTTCTTTTTCCCCAGCTAATTAGCTCCTGGGTCCTTTTCTGTTTACTGTTTACATATATTTTATTTTCTTGTTTTGTGTGATCACTTATGATTGACCCATGGCTGAGTGATGTTTGCAGTTCCAGAAAACAAGAAATTGTATTTGTAAGACTATGAGGTGTCTAGGCATGAGTGCCTTTGTCTTTGTGTCATCTAACAGGTCTTAAAACTCAGTGAAGTCTAGAATACTTGCAGTACTCTCAGATTTGCACCTCAGAATACTGAAACTCATTCAGATTCCAGGCAAGTCAATACCTTAGTTCAATCCACTGATGTATGGAGTAATACTGCAGCAGTATGAGATTGCCAGAAGAGATTCTTAACCTTCTTTTCAGTGATTTGGGACAGTTTTCAAAAGGAGGGGGAGAGTTACAGGCCCAGACATCACACCAAGTCAAAAGAATCTTGTCCTTAAGAAGCTCCCCCTTTCTGTTCAGGAAAGGTATCCATTGCTTGAGCTGATTGCTATGGTTTGGGAGTTACTGTTAGCTGCATGAGTAACCAGTGAATCTAAAATCCATTCATCTGTAATCATGATCTGGCACTTCATGTGCAGCCTCACAGTACTCTGTTTTAATGAAAGGCAGTAGAAAAGATAGCCCGTAGCCATCTTCTTGCTGAATTACCCTGGAATTCCATGAAGTGGTGGGTTTTTTTCTTCCCTAGCCTGCTTCTTAATTCTTGCAAGTCATAATAAGCCCTTCTATTTTCAAGCTTTTCAAGTTAGGCTTAATTTGTAACTGGCAAATGTAGGAAGTATTTTCTGAGTTCAAGAGACCCACATCTGTTTCTTGGAATTTCTGTAAACCAAATGGTTTTGGTTCTTACTGTGGTCTTTTCACTCAAAGTATAACACAAACCAATGTTTTAAGGACCTTTAAGTGTCTTTAGTACTGCCTTCAGCAGAGGTACGTTACATGATCTGGGATTTCTAATATGGTTATGGAGAAGCTGAATATAAGAGATTCTTGCATTCCAGCACTTATTGAGGGTAGAGGTAATTAAAGGTCTAAAACAACTGCCTTATTCGCTGTCCTTGGCTAAAATCAACAAAAAAAAATTACTCGGTAATTTTCAGTTGGATGTTTGAAGCTTCACACACTGTAGAACAGTGTCTTCCAGAGGTAGGTTGTTCTTTCCCACCAAAGGCAACTACTGCATCTACTAAACACACTAAGTGTAGAAGACTGTCTCCATTCATTTACCCATATGCATAAAGGTTGCAGCATTGTAATGTGTAAGGCGGAATTCTTTCTGCCCAATATGAGGTAACTAACATAGGTGGTTTCTTCTCCTAGGCTCCCTGTATCATCAGTGGAGTTACACTGACTGAGGATAGGCCAGTATAAGGCAAACATCCTCAGATTGCCATCTGAAAGATCTGTCTCCATCTATTACCTAGGAAAACTAGTCTCCTAAATTAGGTATGTTTGTTACGTGCATTAATGAGGCAGCATGAATAACCCAGTCCTGCTGTCAGACCCAAGTTTGAGGACTCTAGACATTCCTACTCCCTCATATTCTCCTTACGTTTATACATGCAAAATGCAGCTTTAAAGTCACATTAAATTATTTTTCTCTGGACAGAGCTGGATTGAAAGAACTAAAACCATGCAATTTCAGGTTTAACACTTGAGAAAGTGGGAACTTTTCAGTGGTAACTTTATTCATTTACCCTTGCATTCTTACACATAATTTGTTAGTAATGAAGCCATAGTAAGGGAAAAAAAAAAAAAAAAA